GTGAAATTCTCTACACAGAATAAACAAAGGTTTTTCACAGAGTGGCGAGAACCTCAACCATGAGTTATTTTGAATGCATTGTCTCAGGGAAAAGTACAGTACAGTGTGCGAGAGATGGAAGATGAGGACGAGGGGGTGGGTGGGTGGTGTTACCAGGCGCTGATTGGTGCACCCAAGCTAGTCACACTCAAAGTCTAGAGCGTGGGAGGCTCTGCGGGCTGGAAAAGGGTCTATGCTCCACTGAGGTGTGTGGGCATCGCTGACTTTGAGATTCAGTGGAATTAATCCACAGAAAAAGAAGGAGAGATGTGGTCAGCAGCAGTAGTGGTCCTAATCGCACAGAGGCCCGTGTGTGTGGGTGTGTGTGTGTGTGAACGCCCCTCTTCCTCCATGCCAAGCCCCAGAAGGCAGAGCTGAAGGGCCATGTGATGCCACCCACTCTCGAGTGCAGTGCATGGCAGGGCTGGCGCTAGATCCTGCGGAGCGGGTGGGATGAGCTCAGATATTGGAGGCTGGCACTGGCTGAGAACAAGGCTTAGCTATGGGAGGTGGGGAGGGGGTTGGCATTACCACTCACTGCAGCAGAGACATCAAAGGCAGCAATCCTGCTTAAAACACAACAGCACCGTAAATACTATCAGGTAGAGTTGCTTACAGTTTAGCTGATGAGAATAGTGCAAAGAGGATCTAAATACTCACTTTATATATATATATATATACACCCATGGATATGCATAATAGTCCCACATATTAATATTATCTTCTTAACGAGGCAACTGCTTACCATAAAAATCTATATTTATGAACTATTGTGTTATGTTAAGGCTTGTAATGGGCTCTAATTACGGGAGGAAGGGGACACATGCATCTGAAAGGGAAATAAAAAGGCAGTTAACAATCACTGCATCCTGGTGATTTCAGTGTGCGTGTGCGTGTTAGAAATGAGTTGAGTGAATTTGACAACATGGAGGCTGTGCTGTACTGTTGGAGAGGATGAGAGGCCTGCCAAACGACTGCTGTATGCCTGATAGAGCTCTTTGTTGCCTCAAAAAGCAAAGGGAGGTCCCTCATGCAAATTCAAAGGATATTCTGAGAAAAGAGGATCCAAGAAAGTAGACAATGCACTCTGTCTCATTCACTACTTGTTATGGAAGACGCAGGAAACAAGAGCTGGGGATACATTGCTGTGAAGAAAGGGGCCCTCTGTGACTAACATTAGACATCACGTGGAGATGTAATTCATCCTCAAAACTTAACAAGTCACTCCATATTATTAGCAGCCGCAGTCCACAACCGTGACCTGGAGCACGGGGCAGCAGTTGGAGAAGTGAGTCTAACCCTCATTGCCGTCTCTAGCAGCCCAGTCACGGGACTATATACACTCAGTCAGAAGTATGCAACCCATCCCACACATAACAGGCTTCTGCCCACAGAGCAGACCCTCCCCTCACTCTCACTCCACCGACTCAGCCTGCTGCTATTCTGTACACTTGAAAAAGCAGAGACTAATTTTACCTCGGCTCATACTCGTAGGTTGTTTATTGAAAAAGACAAAAAAAACAAAACAAAACAAAACGGAAACATATGGATCTTTTTGTAGCATGAGTGTATTTGAGAGTTCTCACAAGCTGATATATTAGTGTGTTTACACTTCTGTTTCCTGTTACCGGCCTTTGTGTCTCTCCTCACTTTTTAAAAACTGTGGGTGCTTTATGGTTTAATCAGCGAGGTTAGCAGCTCTGTGAGGCTGGACTTTGGTACAGTGTGACTTTGAGCTCAGTGATAACACTAGCATGCTAACATAGTCACGCGGAGCAGCTAAAAACTTTTAACCTGTTCACTATCTTAGCATGCTAACACATATTGCTAATAACACAAAGCACAGGTGTGGCTGAAGGGAGTGTCATCGTTTTGCTTGCAGGTATTTGTACATAAACCGTTATTTCATATAAGTTTGACATAAGTTGATATAAGTATTTGATATAACTCTGATCTGATGAAAAGTCAAAGGATCATAGAGTCATTAGGATCCATCCTCTGGGGACCATGAATATCTGTAAAAAAAAAAATGTCATGGTAATCCATCTAATTGTTTTTAAAATCTTTCAGGATGACAAAAGTGGGCTAGGTGACCTAAAGACCAGATGATAATCTGATTGGAAGCCTTTGGAAACAGCTTTTAATGCACTAGGATGAAACCCTTCTTACTGAGCTATTCTCCTTTCTCTGCATTAGAAGATTAAATTAAGCTTTAAGTAAATGAATCCTTACATATATCTTATGTTTGGTGACCAATACATGACTAAACCTCTCCTTGAATATGCTCTGAATCATGTTTATGCAAACTTTGATACCTTTTGTTTCTTTTGTCTCTATAGTGTGACAAGCCCTCACTAGAAAACTAATAAACTGTCATAGGGATGTAGAGGACACGTCACATGAATGCACTTGCAGATTTTCTGCTGCTTTCCAAAGGCCTGTTTCGCTGCTTGGCGTCGATCCTCTTGCCAGTGAGCGACCACCTCTGGAGGAATAAGGCAGAGTTACAGCTCTCCGTCTGGAATGCTGCCCTACTTGGCAGTTCACTCCTAAGAATCTCAACTCTGTAACCTCAGACCAATTTTGGTGGGAATTTTCCCCTCATTCAGTTCTGTCTCATTCAATAAGCCGACCCAAGATTAATTACCTTTTTCCATTAATGCTGAATGTTATAAATCAGTGTGTGTCCTATTCTAAAAACTCAGATAGCCTCTTAAAGGAGCACTGCACTTATTCTACACATGAACATCAGTTTATCCGTCATGGGGAGTGTCATACGTCCCGTGAAAACATGTCTTTTGAGGCTCTGTAGGAGCTTTGTCTAGTCTGACAAAAGAACCCTGGTGATGTTATAGGGATGTCAGCTTTCAGAAATTTCAATTTTTTATGGAAGCAGGTGTGTAATGAAAGATGCTTTAGAGCTGCATTATGGGAATTGTAGGACCCAACCTTTTGGGAGCTTGACCCATATTAAGTGACTAAAAATCTGGGTATTTTTGCCTCCGCTGCAGCAATTTTGATCAATATTTTAAACACCATACTCTGGTGATTGAGTATCTCGCTTTAATAAAGGTTGCTAAAGACATTAAAAATCGTTGCTATCTGAGACATCCTGACTTTTAGTTCCTATAATTCAACCTAACAGCATCTTTTTTATTAGACGTTCCCTGCTTGTTAAATAACTCATCTTTCTAACATTGATTTGTTTCAAAACAAAGATTTTCTGTCAAATACTTGAAGTCTCAAGTCTAGCTCAAGACAACACTGATGATCACTAGGGGTTACTTTAATAGACTGCTCCTCTAGAGATACATAAGACATTATATGACTATTTTCACAGGCTGAGTAGTGCTCTCTATTATGGGTAAAGTGACCTTTATGTGTAAAATCATTGGAGTGCCTCTTTAATCTGTCTAAGTCCCCCAGCATTATTGAAATGCAATACTAATGTGCTGGAGAACATGTTCAAGGATGTTGGGTAACACCAAGCACTGATTTCAACTGCCAGAAAAACAGTTCAGATGACTTCATTGTGTGTTGTGTAAAATCTCACAATCATATTCAGTCTTGATTAGTTCTGGTACACTAATACAGTAATGTCACCCATTATCATCTGCTTTTAGGCCCTGCTAAAAAAAAGGAAAGAAGATTAAAGCAAATAGATGGCAAAACAAGTGTATTGTAGTGCTTGAAGAGCTCCCTGGATTCTTATGAAATACCTGAAAACTCCCAGAACACAGTTCTTATTAAAAACATTCCTCAGCCTAAAGATGAACAAAACAAAAAAGACGCAGACACACCATGTTTGTAACAATAAACTATTTTTTTTCATATTTACATCTGTACCTAATGTGCAAATTAATAATTTAAAGTAGTGTAAAACTCTTAAAGGAATACAAAATCATATCTTACAGTTCTAACATGGTGAGAGTCCATGAACTGGTCACATAGAAACAAAGAGGAGCAACACTGCAGTGTGTACAGGAGAGAGAGAGAGAGACAGACAGAAGCGAACCGAGGGAGCAGTGGACATCCTTGGCCAGGACACACTTAGTTAAGGACAGCATGGTACATTATCCAAGCATCACCAGAACAAACAGCAACACAAACACTGCGTCTTTACAGTAGTCATGTCGAATGAGCAGAAAGCACTTGGAGGCCTGGGGTTTTTGACAAACCCACTGATTGATTAAAGCACTGATGATCACAAAGGCTTGAGGTGCTCTTAGCAGCAGGTGCTTCTTTTAACGGCCTCTAGATATGGAAGAAGAACAGACAATCTCACACTGGATTGGTGACACATCTATACTGCAGGTCACCACATAGTGCTAGTAGCATGATTGCACATCGTGTAGTGTGTGTGTGTGTGTGTATGTGTGTGTGTGTGTGTGTAGGGGGGGAAAAGACACGTAAATCACACTTTGGACAAATACGCATCGGCCTGCTCTCATTACCCCCCAATTCTTCTCCCCTAACATATTTACCGAATAGAGTAGTTAACAGGCGACTCAGAGAAACACACCATAAACACTGCATATTTGAGATGCTATTTTGTCCTATGCACATTGTTCAGTGTTTGGCACGAAAAACATTTTTTAAAATTTGAATCAAATTCTTTTTTTCTTGTTTTTTTTTTAAAGAAGCCAGTTTGGCAGTGCTTGTGGTCTTCAGGAGGTTGACTATGGGCAAAAATGTGAAATGATATCTTACACAATATTTCGAGTCCAATTCTGACACAGCAAACCCTTGTATCGTGGTAAGAACAAAGGTACACTTAACAAATGAGATAGTTTTACATTTCATCCTAGTCAGACATTACAATCTATAATGCTTACACATTTTAATTCCTGTAGTTCAAATTGTTTACAAAAGCACACCGTGACAATCCTTTACAATTTACAAGACACAGTTAACCTACAGTAACTATATTATTGGTGCATAGACAAAATTGGGAGAGGGTGTAGCGAAAATCACCAATTTATTGCTTTAAAGTCTAATATTGATCTCCCGTTGAATTTCTTTTGATTGCAAAACAACTACAAATTTTCCACAGAGATTTTGAAGAACCAAGCAGAGGTATTGCATTCAAACTGATTAAAAGAGCTAAAATGTTCCCTCCAGATAAGATGCAAATCTTTTGAACTTTTGAAAAATAAAGACCTTTCCCTCACACAAAGGAAGTTACATCACAGAGATGACTTTTACTCTAAAACAAGTAAAAGACTAAATTCAATGAGACAGAAATAAAAACAAAGTAGCACAATATCTGGCCAAAGCTGCTCACTGTTTCAAGTTCTGCTTCCCCCATCATAAAGTAATCATCTTTACTAATAAGGGGAGGGTGACAGGAATACAAGAGCATTCTTCAACAAAATAGGAAAATGTTTGCCATCATGTTATTCTAAATGCAGAGTGCAGATGGTGTCGTTCCCTCAAGTCTCCTGCGGCCTTGCTGACAAGTGGCTGAAGTGGCGGTGATGGCTATGCAGGCCTCTGCACTTTGCTCTCCCTCTCCCTGCGTTTCAGCTCCTCTCTGTAGCAGTAGGAGCAGTAGTTGTCTGTCTCTGGCCTACCGTAGAAAGAGCAGTTCTCCCTCTTGCAGCGGCGCTGCTGAAAGCAGTACAAAGGGCTTCCAGAGCTCCGCCCTTTGGTTTTGTCTTGGTTGAGCCAGGTGTGAGACGAGTTGTCCTCATCAGCAAACTCCAGGCAGTCCTGAATGTCTCCCGCATCAAATCCATTGGTGTAGGTGTGGGACTTGTGTTCGCCAGGCATATTGTAGGACAGCGTCTCTATGGTGTTAACGGTGCGGACCCCCGACAGGCGAGCAGGGCTGTAACTCTGGGATGAGAGTGTGCGGTTCTGCTGAGGGTAGGTGGCACATGTCTTTAGGGTGCCCACCACAGGCTTATAGGGGTCATCTTGGAAGATGGAGGATTGCATGTTGACATCTTGTATGTGAATCACGCTGTGCCTCTGGATGGGCGGTGTATGGCTGTAGTGGGCAGACACAGGAACAGGCCCAGGTCTCTTAGTACCAATACTGGGGGAGGAGTAAGGCGCAGGCGCTGGGGCTGGGTGGGAGACATGGTGGGGGACTGTTGGCGGTGTGAGGGGGGGCACTGGGACAGAGACAAGGGGGGCTGCAGGAGTGGGACTGTTCCTGCCCTGCATCTTAAGACCCAGTGGGGGCTGTGAGTTGTGGTTGTGGTTGTAGGTGTGGGTGTGGTGGGGCAGGACGGGAGAGCAGCTCTCCGGAGGCGAGCTGTCTGATCTCTCCCTCTGGAAGACACTCTCATGTTCAGGCTTCTTCACGGCCACCTCATTAGTGGCAGGGGGCTTCTTCTCGGCTTCCTTCCTCTTCTGCTCCTGCTCCTGGCTGAATCGCTCCTGGGCGTTGGTCAGATAGTAGCTGATCATCTCCTCGTGGAACTGGTGTCGATGGCTGGTGAGCAAGAGGCCCGCAAAAATGAACTTGCGCTCCCCCTGCATGGCCGCCCGCAGGATGTTGAGGCTGAGCTTGACATCGGTGCTGTATTTCCAGTTTTCCATGGTCTTGTCCCCCGTGCCTCTCCCTGTACTGTCCTGTCTCTCGGTGGGGGAGGAGCTAGAGGGTCTGTCTCTGTCTGTTGGAGAGGGACTAGTGGCCTTCTCTGAGGAGGTGGAGCTGGCTGACTGACCCGACTCCTCCTTGCTTCCCTTGGTTGTCTTTGACTCCTTCTTCTTTGCCTTTTCCCCTCCGTTCTCCCCATTACGACCTGAGCCAGAGTTAGATTTGTTCATTTTGCCGTGCACAAGGCCACCCAGACCTCCCATGTTCTTCTTCAGCTTGATTCCCAAGGTTTTGCTGAAGCTACCCAGTTTGTTGGCTACAGAATCAGCCCGGCTCTTGTCTTTGTCCTTGCGCTGCTTGTCTTTGTCCTTCTCCTTGCTGGGCTTGCCCGTGTTGACGTTAGAGTTGCTGCCGACAGACTCGCGGTCAGAGTCCATGGACTCAGCTAGAGACTGGACGTCCTCACCTGCAGAGGCTGTGGGAGACTCTGGCTGAGCCAGGGGAGCCTGCACAGAAACACACAAACACACACAGCAATGAAGAAAACACGGACCAGAGCGGAAGCAGGGATGTCTCAGGGGAGAATTTTGATTTAAGGGATTATTCTAAATTAATTTCTGGTGTGAGCCAGGCAAATCCACACACACACACACACACACACAATAACTCTGCTGACTGTATTTTGAATATTCATATTCAGGACACACATAAATTCTTGAGAATATTGCATTCTGACAGCAAATAAAACTGATTGATTGGACTCTGTGGTTTCAAGAACATCTGGAATGTAGGAGTCTCTCCAGAGGTGAATTAACCATGAAGAATAAGACACACATGCAAGAAAAAGTTACCCTTGTTTCAGATGGAATTCGGATCCATGTTACATTCATGTAGTTGTGCAGCAGGTTGAGTTTGGCCTCCAGAGACAAGATGAGACTGTGGCAGAGCAGGTATGCATGATTAAAAACAAGCAGTTGGTACAACACAGCTCACATTTGACAAACGATTTTACCAGAACTTCATAGCATATACAGTTTCTGAAGTTTCTGAATTCAAAAACTTGGGGAGACGAAAAAGAATGAAACCCGCTGCTATTCACCCTTTGCATGAAGCAGAACCCCTACATAAACTGTGCCTGCAATGCATTAAGGGTTATATGAAGAGGTGGTATTAGGAAGTGGTTTGAGCATCTTTTCTCTGTATATCTGCATTGTTCACACTGCAGCTTGTTGGAGGATAAGCTAACCCCCTGACTGGCAGGAATGTGAAACAGAAACCCTTACATAAACTCTTTGCTAAACTCAGAGAGGCTGTTGCTGCTTTAGTGAGGCCATTCATGGGAAACCCTATGGATGACTGACGTGGCTCACAATTTGTTCTCTCTCTGCTCTCTCTTTGAAGTAACCTGAACCTGCAACCCATAATCAAAGTTAAATCCCCCATATACAGCCTTGTGTGTAGAATAACAGAACCTGCCTTGGACTGCAGTTTTCACTCTTTCACCCTTTCCCTGGGCTGCTTTCGTAGTCAGTGCCTGTGTCTGCTTTGTTGATAAGCATCAACACCCTGTGATACACTATACAGGACTTACTTGGCAAGCTTGGTATTATCATTGTCGTCCCTCCCCCACTCCCAGTCCCTGCCAGGGTCCACGGCAAAATGGAGCGCCAGCAGCTTGTGCTCCGAGTCAGTCAGAGGGATAACAGCTGGAAGAGATGAGATTATCAAAAGGTTAGTTTGGTCTGGCTTCACCACCGGAGACTACGCTGCACGCCACCCATTCTCCCTCAAGACCGCCGTGGTGTCAGAGTTAAAGCGACGCCGTAATGGCACACTAGGATAATGCCACGTTAATTATCCCAGATGCCTGTCAGCGTGGAGTAAAGTATACTGGAGGGTGGATTCTATCTGCCATCCATTTTTCAGGCAGAGAAGTGACTGTGACCAGTGAGTGTCACTCATACTGACTCATCCAGACAGAGAGGGTTCAGCGGTTGTGCCTTCTATAACACAGACTGATCCCTGGCTCTCTGAGCTACTGTCCTGGCCTGTCTGGTCTAGTGTTACAACTTGGGTCGTAGCTGTTCTGAATGTATTACACAATACAATCAAAAGCTGTTTGTGAAGTTCACTGTTCCCAAGGTCAAGAATGAGCTTTCAGTCCCAACTTTTGAACCAACATGGATGAGGTGTCCTTAAAGTGCTCAGAAAAAAAAGGGGGAAATTTGAACATCTACTATTGCTTGACGACTGGGCACGCTCTGCAGATGAAAATTATTATTTTCTTGGCCACCTTTTCTATCAGCAACAACAACACTGCACTTATCAGAGTAATTACAGAGACCTGGAACACAGCAACGTTGCTACAACAAACACAAGCATTTAGACGATACATCAGTTTGTTAACAAACTCAGTCTAAGAGCTACATGAAGGTGACTGGACTTGCTTGAGGCTCTTGAAGACGTCTCATCTGACTGTTTGATTGAGGTGAAATGTCTTCACGAACCTCAAGCAAGTCACATACCAAAGATCTAAACCACTTTACTTGGAGGTGAATCCAAACTGAGCACACTTAAAATGTCAATGATAATCCGTTGATGCACAGGGAATCTGTGAATGCACAACTATTGTAATTATGTTGCGTCAACGTTTAACTAGGAAGTCAGTCTTCCTGGTAATGACTGCTTGGGTCATAATTCTAATGTTGATCTTTCTCTTCCAAATAAGTTTGGCTATCCTGGGGGTGTGTTTAAAAACGGTTTCTTGGCCCGTATGACGATGTCACTGGGTTCCCAGACCCGGGCTGCACTGAACTGGAACTGTTGCTTAGCTATCAATAGAGGAAATGTTAGTCTAAACTTGGCATGATGAGGCCGCCACTTAGATTTATATTGAACCGAGTGGTTCTACAGCTGATCGGGGCTGTACATGACGATTTGGTTTAGTAATAGAGTGCAATCACGCAGCAGTACAGGATAAGAGCAGGACTGCTGAAATAATTTCATTCATCCTCCGCTGATATGATCAGCTACTTACAAGCAGGAGGAGATTTTCAACACTAATCACTGGACACTGAACATAAAACAGACACCCACCCGGGTTTCCTCTCGTGGGAGGCATGCTAACGGTGTGTTCACAATGTACGTGTTTGTGTGTGTGTGTGTGTGTGTGTGAGTGCATGGCTGCCTTTCAAAACGAGTGCAAAGGAGGACTAGCTAGACCCCACTGGCCCACATGACAGCTCTCCTCAGGCTACCTAGTGTGGGGGCTGTTGTCCACATGACAGCAGAGAGAGGCAGGCTGTTCAGGCCGAGGACATTCCAGCCTTCACTGTCAGCCCCAGATGGAAGATACAAGTCTCCTCCCTGCCTCATCAATTCTTCCACTGCCAATAGGCTGCTCGGCTCTGCAGGCTTCATAGAGACAGTGACACCAGCAGCAACTGCCTGTGTCCCTGATGAAACTGCGGGTCAAATCCTGACTCTGTCCCTCTTTTTGAGTGGCCCCGCTCACTTAAGTACATGATGAAGCAGGCCGAGTGTCAAAATACTGGTGCTGCTGGTGCATTGTGATGTTGTTTTTACCTCCTGAAACAGAATGAGTGCAGCCACACCCACGCTAGCACATTTAACGCTGTTAACATAATTACTTATTTGTATCTGACACCATCAGCAGCAAAGCAAACAAATTCCATCAGTGGTGTAAACATACTGCATTACTAACAGCAGTGCTGACAAACTAGGCCTGTCCAGAAATCTGTCCCAAAATGGCAAGCTTGCCTTTGCGTCATACCTGCACATTGCAATGCATTTTATACAATCTAACTAAAAAAAAAGAAAAAAGGAATGACTAATATCTGCAGTCACAGAGTCAAACAGTAATAAGAGCATTGGCATGGAAGCACTGAACACTGGGAGGGAAAAAAAAGAGGTTTTCTTAAATTAGGGTCATTCATAGAACACTCCAGCCCAGAAAAATTGAGTCATAAACCCAAACACACACACACACACACACGCACACACGCACAGACAGACAGAAGACAGTGAACCAGCTCCCACTCAGTTCCCACTCGGGTCATGCAGCAGGCAGCGGAGGTCTGTGAGGTGCCGTCCTGGCTCCCACGATGCAGCTGTCCTCCTTTCTCCCCATTCCAAAGTGCTGTGTGTGCTGTTGTTCCCACTTGGGCACGTTCCAGATTCAGAGATTCAACACTGCCAATTGAGCTCTGGGGGACTAAAGGGTGCTGTAATGTATTTACTATCCCTGTTGGCAGCCTTGTTTTGTTGTCCTTGAATGACCGATTCCCATAGCTTATGCATGGATGACATCATAGCCCTCTGTGGTATGCGAGCTGTGTACTCAGCAACACAGCCTGCCTCGCCTTGCTCAGTTTACATCTTTGATTCGAGGGGGGATACGCTCAGAGAGAAGGAGGAGGAAAAACTTGGGTGTAACCTGTGAGGAAACAGCTGTTGGAAATGAGGTACATAACCTCTCTAAGCATTTATTCACATGATGTGACTGGACATAAATATCCTCACTTTTCCTTTTTTATTTAGTTTGTGCAAAATGGGCACCTCAAGTATCATGAGAGCAGAATGAGAGTGAACTCTCCCGCCTCTTTTACTCCCTTCTGAGAACAAAGTCACCCATTACAAGCTTTAATTCACAGCAGGAACACTGAGCCAATGTTTCCTCTGTTTTGCGATTCAAGAACAATTTGTACTGTCTGGAAAATGCACAAATTTGAATTCCTGACTTTGGTCACTCTGCACAGCTGCAGATTTAAAGGGCCCAATTCACCAGAGTAAACAGCAGTCATGCATATAAACAAGCCTGAGCTTTTTTTTTTTGCCACAGATTTTAACAGCGGAACCATGGTGATAATAACAAGAGTATCACATTTGGAGTAACACATAAAACCACAACAAATAAAATTTTTATTCTGATTGCCATGTTGATCTAATTATGCAGACTGCATGGTGAGTAATGCACTGGGCGCCTTTAATAGATAGAGAGGTGAAACCTTGCCAAAGCTACATGGTTACACTGCGCTGATATGTAGGTGGTCTTTGTGTAAAAGACGTCCATTTACTTCATTCACATGGGTGTCAGAGCGTTGATGATGGGATGCCAAAGAAAACCTGGAAGTGTTTTGGTCTTGGGACCAGGGCTTGAAATAGCTCCAGAGTTTTCCGAAGGGCCAGTTCCACTCATACGTTGTTTAACCACAGGAGCACAAACAAGCTGATAAAAGACATGGTCAGCAGCATCTACTGAGCAGCCAGTAATTATCACGCAGCAGGTGAGCAGTAAGTGGGCTGATAGAAAACATACCCATGTGCACAGGACTCTGGCTTCACCTGACTGCCTTGCCCAGGAAAACCACATGACTAATAAAAAAAGAAAAAAAAAAACAAATAAAAGAAAGTTTTGATCCTTAGCAATAACCTCTGACTTCAGTCTCCCCTCCCTTGTTGTTTTTTCACCATCAATACAGCCCCAGAAGCCATGCAAGAAGGCCATAAAAGGGGCAGTAGCGTGATGTGTCAGTGTGATTTAGAATCAGGTTACTTGGAGGGACTCTGCCATAATCTTCCATACAGAGGGCTGAAGAAAGAGCCAGTATTCTAACCCAGGCTCTGGCACCTGAACACACACAGGGCCAAAGGCCCCTCGGATGCTCTTCGCTGTGCTGGGGGAAACTGAGAGCAGCCCTCCACCTGAGACGTCCACACAGTGGCCTGACTGTCAGGGAAGAGGGTTGGTTTGTTGGGGCCCCAGCAGCCCGGGACCCTGCCCATATGTGGTGTTGTGGTGAGGCCTTAGGGGCCGGCCGGGGCTACTCTGCCCTAATTGGCAGTGGAAGATTAGGTCTGTCTCTCTGTCTGTCTGTCTCACTGTCTGTCTGACCCTCTTCTCGTCTTCCTGGCATCTGTTCAGAGAAATGAACCAGCAAAGGCAACATTGTACTTGCCTTGAAATTGAAAGAACATAACCTACTTCTAATAATATCATACAGTAACTCACAATTATACCTCTTAAATACATGAACATAAACAAAAACATAACAAGAGCAGCAAAGATTTGTACCATTACTGTGTATCATAATTCATCACATGACAAGCAAATGCACCAGGCTAAGCATACAAGTGTTTTCATAACAACCTGGAGACAGACTGCAGACAAAACGCACTCTGACCCTATCTCAGGACACAGTGTACCAGAATGAAAAAGTACAGTCATGCAGTGGTGTTGTGATCGCGCTACAGCGAGATCCTTGGACATAGGCACCACCTAGTGGACAAAAAGAGAACACCCCTCTGCCACGACTAAATCACCCAAAGAAAAGTAGGAGTGCTGAATAGTTATGGGCTGGCTTTGATGTGCTGCTGGTACTAAAGGGAACGATTCCATGGAAGGAATGGCAGGTTAGTAATCATGTCTGTCTGCTAGTCTGCAGTGGTCATACCCTGACTTAATAACTAGGTTGGTGTATATAGGCCAGGAATAGGATCTTATGTACTTAGAAAAGCACAAGGAGAGAGAGAGAGAGAGAGAGAGAGAGAGAGAAGGAGGAAGAAGACAGAGAGATTAAGAAAGAAACAGTTTGCGTAAGTGCATCTGTATTTGCGGGTGAGAAAAAAGAGACAGAGACTGGGTTGGCTGGCTGCCCACGCAAATGACAAGCGAGTTCCACCCACTGAGTCAGATACAGAAGAGTGCCGTGACTACTAAGACTGGTTGTCAAGGAGATCCTCTCTATTTGTCAATTAAAGAACCTCCGTGTGAGGATTACTCTGACCTCGAAATATAAGCAATGCATCCGCAGTTGGGAACACAGGAAACCAAAACGGGCAAAGCAAGACAAAAACAAGAGTCACTCAACACAACGGAAAATCAACACTCTCTCACCACAACTTAACACAGTCAGTATGCTGCGCACAGCACCGCATAACAGATTCCTGTGAAAGAGGCAAAGGCATAAACAGACACACCTACTCTGATAAACTAAATTCAACTTACAGTGACCTCAGAGAACAGAGACATAGAATAACACAGGCTTGAATTATTTGGTCACTGCTCAGCAAGAACGAGCCTGCTGTCCACTTTCCCTCCATGTCGGCCACTCCCTGGTCCCTGCTGCCAACTGGCCCGTTTTAATAATGGATCACAGGTAATTAGACTGCTGTCTCATACATTATTCACCTCCAGCAGGACAGGAAGACCACTCGCCCTCACTCTCGCAATCTACGCACTAAGGTAAAAGCAAAGACGGCTTAACCATTGCACATTAGAGGGCGAAACTTTGGATTTTTAAAAGCAGGAGGTCAAGCAAAGGTTTATATCCTAGATTTCAACCTGCTGTCGATATTAGTAGCTCGTAGCTAGCTAGTATGCGAGTAGGGTTGCGATGATGTACGGTTGCTTACCTTGCTCTCGCTGCTGGTCTCTCTGCTCCATGGACACCAGTGCGGAAAAGTGAGCTTGATCGTAGGCCAGGACCAGAGGCGAGCAGTGACAGCGACTTGGAGGCACCTCCAGGGGCAGATAGAGCCCTCCAAACGGGATGGGAGCGAACGCTGGAATTCAGTCAGAACACTACATTTAGTGTCAGTCCATCCCTTGACCAACTATATTGTAGAGCGTTACAAGATGCAGTCACTCTACCTTCTCCTCCCGAGTCTCTGAGCATCGTGTCAGCCACCACTACAATTGGCCTGCGTAGCACATGGGCCAGCACAAACACATGGAACTCCTCTAGACTCTCATAGACCGGATCCTCAGAATTATCCACACTGAAGAAGAAAAAACAAAAAAAACAAAAACATATGTAACACTGTGGGACCATGGGATACAATTCCCTTGAATTGGTATTCACTGAAAATATCTACAGTCAAAATAGTACATGTATATTATAACCATTTGCCTGCGTAATCTAATCTCATCCACTTTAGATCCGTTTTGCCTACTGCCTACTGTCAACAGACAGCGATGTACAAAGATCTATCTATTCATACATGCATTTGAATGAGGGAGAGGGGGAGAGAGGGAGGGAGAGATGGAGAGGAAAAGCAGAGGAAGAGCTCTCAGGCATGCAACCACCAGGGAACCAGCGGATGTACAACAATTAAGTTGTCAGCCACACAAACAGCCACGCTGCCACATTTACTCTAATAAAGAGCCTCTTAATATGTGAATCCCACTCATCCCATTTAGGGGCTCATCTCACACTAGGACCATCAAACATCCCTAACCTGATTACTGTATTACAGTCAAACTCAATGAGAGGTTAAAACCACCAGACTAAATGAGCAAATTATGCTCTTTAAAGGGATATTTTCAGTGACAGAGAGCTTTGTGCTGGACACTGAGAAAAACACAGCGAGCGAATGTGAAAAGACAATGTACAGACGCTGCTGTTTTCAGTTGCGTTAAGGGGATCCTCTGTTCATCATAGCTGTTTTTTTTTTTTCTTTCACCACCACATCAGCTGCTATACCTACCGCGTACATGAGAAAGTTCATTTTCTTATTACAGTGAAAATGGAAACAGAAAACCACAAGGTTTCTGTGCGTAGGAGGAGGAAACCAGAGTTAGTTTCCAATCTGCCTCTGAAGCCTGAGATAAACCCACTCTTACACTTGTTTATAAACTGGGAGGGAGGGAGGGAGGGAGGGAGGGAGGGAGGGGGGTTGAATCACATCACCTGCAGCAGCTAAAATAACCCACAGCTCATGAGAAGCTGTTGTGGAGGAAATGATTAATACCGAGGGCAGCCAGTAGGTGGCACAGTCTCACACGTGAGCTTCAACAATGTCCTTAAATCAAAGAAGCAATTTGAAAGAGCAACAGTCCGAGTGGGAACAGTTTCCCTGACAAATCCATCTTATAGCGAGAAGGTCACTTTTGTTTTCACTGTGGGCATCCTGCACTGATTCAATGCAGGAGGCATTAAAACACAGCAGGAGAGCTGCAGTGTGTGATGTGGGATGAAAGCTGCACAATTTATAGTGCTGCTCTGTTTCACTGTGTTCTCCGTCTTACACAATGATTACAGAGCAAACACTGCTGGATTCTGGTTAAAGGAATGTAATATGTATTGTGTCTTAGGGGTGCAGATTGTGTATGCCTGCATGCTTTTTTTTTTTTGAAGGGGGTGGGTGTGGGGGGCGGGTGGGGGTAAATGTGTATAATATGAGAGTCAAACAGCTTACCCTCCACTGGTGTTGCCGTTTTTGCTGAGGTGAGTGCGAGGCTCACTGGAGGCCAACTTCAGCAGCTCGTTCCACTCTCTCTCCCACTCCTCCTCAGTGTACACCAGCCCCGACTACACAAACACACGCACGCACACACACACACACACACACACACACACACAGAAATTGAAATTCTGATAAAACACGTGCCGGTGCTCACCCACACAATCCCTATTATAATTCATTTTCACTATTTCCATCTGCATCTGCAAGGTTATCCCCTGAAGCTTCATGCATCTGCACATGTGGCCATTTTCTTTTGTAACTTTTGCATACTCCTGTTGTTAATAGATGGTTTGACAGAAGAGGCCGAGAGGAAATATGAGTAATAAGAGAAAGGTTGACAACATGTGACAAAGGTCCATGCCCGGACTCAAACTGGGACGCTGCGTTTACATGGGTTATGTCTCAGATCACTGGGCCACCAAGACACCCCGGGCATTTTTAAAACATGAGCATCTGTACTACTTCTTTGCCTGTGCTATCTTGGGTGACACAATTTTTCTAATAGATTGGCAAATACTTTAATCCATGAACATCAACAGAAGGGAGAGGAAGTGCAGAGGATTTGACAGTATTAGCAGCACTGCTACTAATGCATACTTGGTATCATAGAAAGACTCTTTTCCTTGCAGCAGAAATCCAAATGCGCAACCCAACAAGGAAGCTAAAATCAGCGCTTATTAACAGAGGCTCATCCCTGGATGTATTAATGTGTCATTAGTGAAAGAGGATGCGATGCATTTAGGAGGTGCGGTTTGCTATGATGGACACTGTCCCAACCTCCTTGTTCTGTTGGGTTTGCTGCCACCTCCACCTCCTCTTCAGAGCATCTCTCTCCGCTCCGCTCTTCATCATGGTGTACAGGGATTTCCTCAGCATCAGGTCTCTGTCATGGAAGCCCCACATCCCTGATTGACACAGAGAAACAACACTGTCACTGCAGGTTAAGATTGCGGACATAAAACAACCACAAACACCACCATCGCATGTAGTTGACTAAAACAAAAGGTTGCCGTTCTTTTAAATACTTTATTTACAGATTTTACAATAACGAAATATGTAGAAAGGTCACGCAAAACACCAGTGGTTGCAATTCTTAACTGCACCAGGACATACATTTGGATGTGACCTCAGCTCTTTAACTAAAAATGTCTTTCATCACTCATCAAAGGGCCTTGGTTATCTGACTGTCAGTGCAGATTACATTAGCTCCAGTGCCTCTAACCCTCCGCTGCTCCAGCAGTCCTCACACTGGGGAGTCAACCATCTCCTTCAGCACAGACCTGAATACGCTGCCATTCCCTGAACCCCGCGATCTCTGCAGCTTGCAGTTTCCTGCAACGTGTAGGTCTGTTATCTCTCCTCTCCCTTCTTTTCCCTGCTTCCTTCATCTCCCTAACTCCTCCTCTCTCACTCCCCTCTCTGGGTTCAGCAGCTGTGACGCTAACTTGCACAGTTGTTCCGAACCGAGCTTAATGTTTAACGCTATTTTCAAGAGATGATGATGGATATTATGGTTGTAGTGTGTATTAAATATACTGAAGTGTACACGAGTAGCTCACCTAAAGAGGCAGCATGCAGGAGGCAGTTCCCGTCCCCTGTGGTGGCCAGAGGAAGCAGCTTCTTACAGCTCGTGCACATGGTGGACCACCAGTTGAGACGACCTGCACACAGGTGCGATATAATAATAAGTGCATAAATTCTGTACAAAACTGGGACACACAACAGCGCAAACACACTCATCCCGTTTTCAATTTCAACGTTTTCTTAATCTACGCAAATTGAAACACATTGATGAGATTCCAGACTCAGATGTATTTGGATAGTCCAGTCCGATGTCTCACCATTGATTCCTAACCCAGCCGAACATCTCCCTGAAGAGAAGTACATCATCTACAAGAAAGAAGCCTCAGTGGAAACTTTGAAAAATTAAAAAAAATAACTTTGAGAAGAGAAAGGAAATTTATTCCATGAGCCCAGCCTGAAAACAGAAGCTGTAGGTTGGGAAAAGGCAATCAAAATAAATAAAACACAAACCTGTACATATGTTAATAGCAGTCCAGCAGTAGACTAATAGTGTTAAACTGAAGTAATTGGTGTCATTTTGAGTTCAGATTAAGCCCAAATTTTTTTGGAGACATCTGCGTAAATCTCGACCACCTTGTGGAGAGAGTAGGTCATTGCTACTTTCCAGTCCGTTAAATGATCAATCACATTCAGTTTTTTTAAAAAAGTGTGTCACTTCTACTTCACAGAATGTCTCTCGGTCGAGTACTGGAGCAGGTACCAGTAACGGCCCATTGAGTACAATTAGCCAACAAGAATAATTAGCCTTGATAGCTGAACTTTGAAGGCAATGATTAGCACAGGCCATATGCTATGCACCCTCAAACACCCAGCGGTTCCCCCTCCCTCCTCAAAAAAAAAAAAAAACCTCTCTGAATATCTTCCTCCTCAGTCTGACTTTTACAGTATCTCCAGTCTCTGCTCCATCACCGCCCTGCCTGTGTCCCTGAGGGAGAAAACGACGGCTTCACAGCCCAGGGCGCTGCACACTGCTTTACTGCAGGCAGCCTCGCTGCTCTGAGCCTGGGCTGATCTGACTGCATCATTTATTCAACAACAGTAAACACAGAAGAGGCTCTGAATGATTTACCCCACAGTGTAGACAGGCTCAAAATGATGATGTTTTTGAATTTCCCCATCAGATTGCAGTTGGTGATTTTAGTTTTTCAACTTATATATTTAAGTTTATTTTCTGGAAGGATGAACTGCCATCACATCCCAGTGTGTTTAATGATGCTACATCCCAGAAACGTCCATCTGCAGAGCACAGGGACGATCATGCCTAAGATTCAACCACCCATAAAATGAGGCTAATACACAACTGGCTGCTGTACCTGAATTTACCTTTTCTTATGTGCAGAGTCTATGCGTTTGTCTTACCCACAGTTAGTGATGCAAATCATTTTGATGAAATTTATGACAGTGTGAAGATTTTTACAATTGTAAATTCTTCCCTTATCACTAGAGATCAGATGCTATCTTCTGGTTGGCTGGACAGTGGCTCCCAACTTTCTACATCGGATGTACACTGTCACCCACAACACACCCACAATTTCAGTACATCTCCACTGGTACCACCCATCATAAATGTGTTCATTTGAAATGGTTTTTCTCTATATTCTTTTTTGACCATTTATCAATTACTTCTTGATAACTATAAGCTTTTATCCATTACCTTTACCTCATTATTTCATCTGTTTATTCAGTTCTTGCAGCAGCTTCAACCTTACTGTTTGCTTCCCGGTGTACATGTACGCTGGGTTGGGAATCACTGGACAGAATCACTGTCAAAAATGTATCTATAAGACTATTAAAACAGTCGGTCTCTTATTTATATTTTAATGGTTAATTGATCCAATATTCCTCTTGGTTGACTGTACTCTGATCTTGAACACAATTAGGTGAGAAAGGCTTTACGATCTGTGCTCTCTCTGTGTGGGAAAGTCTGCTGGAAGATTTGAAACTTCACTAACTAGTTTCTCTTCATTATTTCAAAGCTTCAGCTGGGAGATGGATCCCTTTGGGATCCAGGGTGCTTTGAATTAGTTGTTGTCGTCTTGCTAGTCTGATCTGCTCAGTCTCACTCTCAGTCTCACCCTCTTCTTCTCTGTCTATGTTGCTGACTTTCATTAGCATTTCTCATTGCTGCTGCTTCTGCATTTCAGTCTAATCTAAATTAAGGAAATAGCAAAGTGCATAAGAGTCTTACATATCTCATATCAGGTTTTGGAGGGTACGATAAGTGCGTGTATTGCATTATATTATATCCTGCAGAACTCACCAGCCTGCTCCAGAGCCATCATGGTGGACTGCTCTATCAGGTCTCTCTCTATGAAGCTCCTGAAATCCTCGCTGTACACACTGAGGTCTGGTAGCTGGAATGTGTAGATGGGCATCTCAAGAGGGAACTGCTCGCTGGTGCACTCGCTGGCCACCTGCAGCCGCGCCAGGGAGACGATAGCAGAGCTGGCGTGGGAGATGCCGCGGGACAGACGCTTCTCTAAAAGGGGAGAAGAGGCCGAGAGGAAGTTGAATGGATGAGTTGAAAGCAAGGGAAGACACAGGAAACTGCCGAGGTCACTGGCGGTGGTAATATTGTGTTGAGGTGGCCCCGCTACCTTGTGCATTGTCCTCCTGCTTCTGTGCACACGGCCTGTCGATCTTGCTGACATGGGTGGGTGTGTCACGTGTCTCTGGCTGCTTGTAGTAGCGGCCCTCATTGAAGACCTGCGGCAGGTTGGCAGTGTGGACCTGCCTGAGCTCCTCATAATCATTTAGAGCAGCACTGAGGTCCCAGTTTTTACCTGCGGGACACAAACAAAGGTTACAGACACTAGAAATGATAATGATAACGATAATAAATATCCAAGATAAATTTTCCCTCTCATAAGTTTATCATCGACTGCGTGATTTAAATTAAATTTTCACCCAGTGTCACGTTCCCATGCAAAAAAAAAAAAAAAAAACTGTTGTTGTTTTCCTGGTGCAACAGGACACTGTTCTCTGCAGTTTACAGTAAACAGGATTATCTCATGGAGAATCACTGAGAAAATGCAACTGAGAAGCAGAAAGTGTAGAGGAAAAGAGGGGTAAAATCCTGCAGATGAGACAGATTCAAGAATCAATGCACTTGGTATTGTGATAATCTCATTTTCAACAAGATTTTAGGATTACTGTCTTTTTTAATATTTTGATTAAATACTGATAAATTCCCAGATCTCTAAACAAATTAAAATACTGAGTGCCACCATAATGGTACACTATATAGCCCCTATGGAAGAAGGCCATACAGTGCTTTTGTCTGAGTAAAACATGCTGCATCATAAGGTGAATAACTAGAGGTTGAGGTTGGGTGGTGCCACAAAAAATGAAGATAGTGAGGGGAGACAGATCCTGTGCTAGAGTGACAGCAATATCCTGATGGGCAGGAGGGACCCACACAGACACACACATACCCACATATATATTGATAACACATGCACGCCATGAACACACGAACAGAGAAGACACAGTTGTCTCCTCTGGGTGCTGTCTCTCTCTAACAGAAATCCCTTCCAGGTTGAAGATACACAAGTCACGCCTCAGTCTTATTATATCTCAGCGTGTCTTCTCACGATGCCACAGGAGCTATCTGCAAAACAGTCTTTATAAAACTCACATAAACGCCTTCGACGGCGAACATTCAGAGGGCCTGGTGTCTGTATGCATGTAACCTGAGCAAGTGCGTGAGACAGGAGTCCATTAATGGACTCCTGTTGTAAGAGACTTGAAAGAAGTTGTCCTCTCTCTCCCTGACCTCCAGACATGATGATTCTTGGCAGTCTAAACATGAAAAGTGGCGCCACTAATCACCATCTCTCATGCCAATCAATGCAAAACTGATTGCACAGTATGGATCTAAGAAGGAACACAACCCAAGGTCCGGTTACATAGCCACTCAGCACCTAATGCGTGCTCTTTAAATGCCTCTACATTAGCCCACTATTACTGTGGCATGGAAAGCATTGTCTCCGCCGCTTCATTTGTAATGGCTGTCGTCAGCAAAAGGAACACTGATAAATTCATCCGCAATGAACATACATTATCCTCGTCCATTAGAAACACTGTAGCCTCATTGCACTCCTGTTTTCTCATTACAAGATTCAGAATTAAACCATTTTCATCAGAGGATTTTCCATAAAGGAACAGTAGAAGTAGATCTTTATGAGCAAGCTTTACTCTAAAATCTACTTTCTTTAATTAAACAAAATCACCAAAATTAGATTCTTAACCTTTTCTTTTTTTTTCTTTCCTGCGAAAATTAAAACCCCCCACCCTATTACTCAGAAAATGTCCTAGTTCTTAATAAATTTGAAGACAAATTCCTCTCCTCTTCCTCCCAGAGCACATGCAGTGGTGTGGATTCAGTACATAAACCAGCCTCTAGAGGGAAGCACCACATTTTGGTGCTGTCATATTTCTCTGTCACGCCCCTTGTCTGTCCCCTCACACCAGCCTGACTCAGAGCAGAGGTTAACAGAGCAGCTGATTGATGCAGGTCTGGAAAGCTAGGCTAACATCAGAACAAAGCAGCAGGCATAATACTGAAATAGGGCACCCGGGCTCACGTCTGTCTTGTCTTGAGTGCAGTGTCTTGTTTGGTGTCTGTCAGTGTCACACGTATTCCCCTGTGGCTTGGTGCCAAGGCAGAATCAGGAGGAAAAAAAAAACAAAAAAATGACTGAGTGGGAGGGAGAGAGAGAGAGACACCCAACACTTTAATCCTTTTATCAGACTAGACACCGGCTGCATTATGTACACACAGAGACAAAAATATTTCCAGGACACATAGGTACTGCAAACACTCCACGAGGATTTCATCCCCTAATGGAAGTCTGATTAGTGTAGTGCATGCTTTTATTCCCATAAAGCAGACAAAAACTGTAACTGCAGGGATTTCTGCACTTCTTCTTTCCTGCAGTGTGAACAGATGCTGGGATGCACATGGTCAAAGTGAAACTGGCTGGAAAACCACCCAAAAAAAAAAAACCCAACAAAAAACAAAAAACACATCACTTTTATAGTCTCTAGATATCGAAACCAATCCAACACTCCAGCTTTCTGTTGCTGTGTGCACTTTTGCTCTCCTGTGTGTTTTTTCCAAGTGGCACTGTATGTAAGCTATACAAGTGCCAGTAGCACTCTGCTCCTCAATGAGTTCCAATGAATGGGCACAAAGCTCTCCCTGGGGAGTGCACTCGTAAAACCGTCACACTGGCCTCTAAATCAGCAAGCTGGCTCACTGTTGCAGGCCCCACTCCTCTCCTCCTCTCCTTTGTTTCCTTTACTTCCCTTTCATCTCATTTCCTCTCCTCCTCTGTTCTTTGCTCTCCTCTGCTCACCCGGGTGCAACCACAGCACAACGGGGGAAAGCAGCTGATCAAAACACAAATTCCCAAATAGCCAGTCTTTTATATAATAGTTTAGCTGTCAGTCTCTGGTCTTGAAGATGTGGGACGGTGTCACAGTGATCTCTTACCTTCCAGCAGGTCTCGTGCCAGACCCGGTTCTGCCCCTGTGGACCGAACAAAGTCTGACAGGACCGCGTCCATGTCCAGAGTCATGTGATCATGTGTGTGCGCTGCCCAAGGTGCAGCGGTGGCCTTGGTGGACGCCAGCCTTCACGTTCTCATCTGGAAAAGGCAGCAACAACGCACAGTTTTACAGTAAATCCACACTTAAAAAAAAAAAAAAACATCAATCACTACAAAACTCACTGGACTGCCCCTCTCTCTTATTTTAATCCCAGCCAGTATCCCCAGCCTGCTTGTACTGATGTGTAATGCTTCATAGAGCTGATACTTCATAGTACTGTGAATAGCTCCCCACTCCCAGTGCTCCTCCCAGCTCTTGCTAACAGTCATAACATAACATCCAGCAGCACAGATGTAACGTCAACAACACAGCCAGAGGTCGAATCCAGGACACACCTGCCTATCTCCAAAGCTTCTGGCCCACCGCCCATGACCATAACAAAGCTAACCCTCTTCCTGCCACCGAGTGTCAACCAGAGGTTTTTGGGTATGATCCAGTATCTTAAACCACATTATCACTATGCGCCGGACAGCAAGGAAGGATGGCTGGCGACTGTCTCCGGAGCTGGGGGATTCAGTGTGATGTTATTTTGTATGACGCTAGCTGGAGAGCATGTTTACATCATGGCTATGTAACACTAGAGCCCTAATTAATCAACAAGCGTCGCCTTGTTAGGTCGTAAACAGCACTTCGATGATGCACATGCGTTCAGTCCCTCTGCCGATGGAATGAATGAGTCCATGCATAGCTTTCATTCCAGAAACGGAGCTCACAGCATTGTCAGTGAAGAAACAAACACCCACAGGTTTCACAGCTCTGACACCAGGCCTTTGTGTGCGGACCGGAGGTTTGAGGGATGCTCAGGCTGCTCAGGCTCATGGATTTGACCTATAGAGGAGGGAGAGCATGCCGGAGACATCGAGATACTCTGCCCACGTCTCTGAGCAGCAAGCAGGCGAGCGGCGCCACCTCTCAGTGTGTGCCACATGACATGACTGTCCATTAGGTTCTGGCTCAGTGTTATGAACTGACAGACACTCTGACGCACAACAAATGCTGTTGTTTCCTGCTTCTGAGGCTGAGCAATATTAGTGGATTACGCTGAAAGCAGGATGAACAGGACATCATGGCATATTTCTTTTTTTACTGACCGTGACAGAGCAATCTCAGATTTGAATTTATCGTCACATTAAAATTAAAGGCTCATGACCATAAAAAAAAAAAAAAAAAAAGCTGCTTGATTGTTAGCATCAGAGAAAAAAATATCTTTGTTCAAGACCTGGCAACTTTAGTCTTTATCATATGCATTATTAATGAGTCAAAGCCGCACTTAAGCTGTAGTTTAGCTGACCTACTTACTGTCAGCCATTTGTATTGTGTTGCATGTGCGTTATTGTACTGAGAGAATCTAAGCACATGTAAACTACAGGAAACACAGGGTGGTCGGCTGCAGCAGTTACAACTAAAATTTGTTACCGATCACGAGATTATGGTTAATACATTATAAATTATTAGATTAAAGGTCACCCAAATGTATCTCTGAAGAGGTTTACTTTCTTTATTTGGACCTCTGCATGTTTGCTTTTAACATGTAAAGGCATTGGACACCTCTTACAGGAAATTCAAAAGGCCTGAAAGCCAGTCTGTGAGTTATTAGCCTTCTCTGCGGACCGAAGAGACAAACTTGTGCACAATCACACTCTCTAGGGATGGACACTTAACTCCATATCGCTAATACAGAATAATAGGCTGCAAGTGAAAATCAAAATATTGCTTTGCGGGGCAAAAAGCCTCGAGTCTAGTGGTGTGGAGCAAGTCACAGAAATAGCTGAATATTGTAAGTCATGACCTAATCTTTTCCCTTAGAGCCTTGATCAGATCGCTGTCCCTGTGGGAGGTAATTATGACTCAGAAACGCCCTAATGCATGTTTTTCTATCTGACATAAAATCATGTGGATGCGGGGAAGGTCCAGCTTCCTGTTACTCACAGTCTCAATTAGCATATTTGTCACACATGATGTATCAGGCTTCCACAGAAGATGAAGGCTTGACGGCACACAGTGACAGGCAGCGCAGTGAACTAGAGGAGTATCTACTTATAAGGACGGGGCTGACATTTGTCTGTGTTTTTCTTATTTTCAGCTTATTCCATGAAAAAGACCAGAAGCAACAACGAGTCAGTCCATCTATTAAACCTACGACGTCTCAGCCCCAAACAGCATCAGTATCAATAATAAAATGATGTTGCCTGCATAACAAATATGTTTACCTTTGTTGCTCTGAGTACATTTTGCTAATAATACCTCTGCTGCTCTTCCATGTATATAAGGTTCTGAATGTAATTTTGCACTGTTTTATTGCCACTTCGACATAAGTATAAAATCTGTATAACACAGTGCCTGTTTACACCAGAATGAAGAAAGTTCTCATGGTTTTTAAGAGTTTTTTGGTCAACAATGGAGGTCTCTGGAATATGGTTAAAAATCAGGCTTTGGTGTCACAAGTGATGTTTGATAACAGCATTAATTGTCATTGTTGTAATATATATTACCATTATGTTGACATTGAGGATATCATATAAATGCTATAAATGGTGACATCATTTATTATCACTATACATTGATTATCATCATTATACTGTCTTCTTCACTCTCCCAATCCAAACACACACACACACACACACACACACACGCACACACACACTACAGACTCATACCATACACATCATATTCTTGTCATTTTTCACATAACACAACTGTGTTAATACAAACTGTTTTTGTTTTTGTTGTCATCTACATGTCTACCCATTTTGTATCCATACATTCATGTCACACTTGTTTTTGTTCTGTTATCTTATCAATAAAGGGAATAAAAAAAAAAAGAATTGTGATTGTCATTCATTGCTGGTTTTTGTCTTTCTATAGGATTTGTTGACATTAGAGAAATAGAGAATACCTCCAGAATACCTTCTTTATTGTTATTTAGAGACTGTCAGTGACAATGTGCAGTAGATAATAGCAATTCAACTTTTAGATTTTTTAAATCAAACCTACTTTCTGTATTTTCGCTGAGGGTTGTTGAGACGCCATCTGATGACCACGGGACTGTCAGGACCAGATGCAGCTCTAGTCCATGGCTTCAGAGGCAGCAGTGCAGAGGAAGACGCTGGGGATGCACAGAACCCTGAAAAAACAGACAGAAATATTCAGCGTTATCATCCTGAGTCAGAAAGTTATGGCTCTTAGTTCTGATTGGCTGGGTTGAGTTTGAAGCTGCAATAAAAACACCCAACTGACACATATGTGTATGACTGCATCGGTGTTGAAATGCTAATCCAAAATGAACCCTCAAGCCTTTACTTTCATCATGTGTCATTTAGAAACCACTACTGTCTACTGACTTTTCATCCAACTGACTGAGGATTACAGTTGAATAGTTAACATTTCATTTTTATTAGATTATTGACTGAAAAATGTTTTTTAATAAAATGTGTTTTATGAAATTGCATCACTTGGTGTTATGCTCTATTTTCTAAAACCCAAAAAGGGTTTTACTTGGCCTCGTGTTGTTTGTAATGACACCTTTCATAGTGAAGCAGTGTCATTTCTTCTTGGATACTCACAAACATTCCTTTCAACAGCTAAAAACAACCTGAGTTTTAGCTAATAGCAGAACCTTTTTCCCAAGCCCCCACCTTCTCAAGTTATTTACATTGGCGTAATCACGTTTTCAGATTCTCACACTAACATGCAGGTGTTTATGTGACACCACCACCGATGTGGTAAAGAAAGTGCAGTGCTAGCTTCACAATCGCTGCTTTTACGTAATGAAATGCTAACACACTGATGCCGGTAAAGGCAGAGAAGGTCACTGGTGGGTTGTTGTGTTCCAGGATGATCCTGCATGACACAGCGGCCAGAGATGTGATTATGTAGTGTGTGTGTGTGTGTAGAAAAACACACATGGAAACATTGAGAGAAGAGTGTGAGAGCAGCCACAGTGGAAACTCAGTGGATATTCTGCCATCCTCCCCGGTGGATCACACCACCCTTTCAGCAGAATACTGGCAAGTGCTGAGGAGTTAGTGTCAAAGCCATCCTAAGTGGGACTGAAATATCCTTTGGGTGTCATACATAATTCACATGAACAGTAAAAAGGTTCACATACTGTAAGTTTCCTCTGTTTATTTGTACAATCTCTTACAGCAACTTTGTCCACAGCACCTTTAAAATCAGCCAGATGTCATCTTTAAAATATCAGAGATACTAAGTCTAAGTTTGAATTCAGTGGACTTACCCATTAGTTGTATGTTTGTTGATATAGTTTGGCCTGAACAATGACAATCAACCCTGGAACAACTATCACTACTTCAGCCATTTGTAAGAAACATGTATATTCAGAAGAACCACTAATAATCAGCAGGTCTGGAAATAGTACAAGGATATTCAACTCCAGAGACAGAGGTGACGTGACTAATGCTGAGATTATGTGTGTTAAAAATAATTAAGCAGAAGTTTGAAAATAGAACATTTATCCGACTAACCCTGATTACAAAAGGCACCTGCTGGATCATGACTAACATTTTAAAACAAGTACGCCCTACTGACTTCTCCAATTTAGTCATCTCTAAAGTGGTGACCAAAAGTTTTTGTTGTGAGTGATTCAAGTTTAAAAATACAATTACATTTGGCAGACGCTTCACATTATTGCTCAAGGGCGCTTCGACACATGAGCACAAGGAGCGACAACCTTACAGATAATGCTCTGTCACCTGAGCTACAGCCATCCCATGTATTAAGTCAAATCCTTCACATTGTTTCACAGTAACTATACTGTAGGCTTTGCTCTAATTCTTTTAATTGGTGGAAAGTAACAAGGTACATTTACTCAAGGAGTATTTCCATTCTATACTACTTTGTACTTTTATTAGCAACATTTCAGAAGGAAAACTTTACTGTACTGTACTTTTTACTCCACTACATTCTCTTCACAGCTCTATTTACTTTTTCAGATTCAAATTCTACAAAAATATTGTATGATCTGCTTTCAAAATATGTAGATTAAACTAATGATAATCCAATAATTTAATTACATATCACTGACGGGGGCTATTGCAGAAAAATGAGTACTTCTATTTTTGCTACTTTAAGTACATTTTGTTGCCAATATGTCTGTAAATTAATTTTACTTTACATAAAGTTCTTAATGCAAGACCTTTAATGTAACCACATATTTATGTGCTAATATTTTGTAAGAATACTCCTACCTTCACAGAATTCTTCCATTTCAAAGTATTTGTCGGCAAATACTAAATATTACAAAGATCTACAAGAGTTTAACTGTTAATACAATATTGAGAGTACGTAGTGCATACCTATACACCCAGAAATGAATGTGTGTTTGCTAGAACTGTATTTGGGGCAGAGATGAACAGGCAATGTTCAGTACAGGTTGTATGTTTGATGTTGTGGCTTCAATTCAAAGTCTGAGACCATCGGGGGAAATGTGCGGCCTTGCAACCAGCTATTTTCACTCTGATGTCTTATCTCTTACAATCTTGCTATTACATTTATGCACAGCAAACATATTAGTAACAGAACAGAGTCAAGTTGTGTATTCTCCTCATACGCAAACACACACTGCATTGTTTAGATATTTTGCATGGTCCACTGACCCGTGAGCACTCTGCCCCCAGTCCCTCCGTATTTACAAGGCGCCATTTGTTGACAGTGAAAAACAAGAGACATAGAACTTGTTTCTTAATCATCTGCCTGCACAAAAAACTGGACGACCGTCCTCTTAATTACTCTTCAGCATCATCATCATCATCATCATCATCATCATCATCATTATCATCATCATCACAAAACACAACAGCACCGCCTCACAGACACTGCAGCTATACGGTATGAAATCCCAGAGTCTCACATTGTTAGTTAATCTAATCCCAACTTCCACCAGATGTGGCCTGTAGCATCAGATTTGATATGAATGTAACACCTACTTAATATACGTAAGCTAAAACACATTACCATTGAGCCACATGGGGAGCTGGGATCTAACCCACTGTGAGTGGTACAATGCTGATGTTTATAATTAAAGTCCCCCTTTTTTATAAAGTGACATTTAAATATCTGTATTATGTGTATATTTAACAATAACCACCACCATACAAAATCAATCATGATCAGCTGACAATTAGGTTTTATAAGTACATGTTACACCACAAGACAATAAATTTACCTGATGTTTTAAGATGAGGGGCTTTATAGGTGTTTAAATCTAATTAACCTTTTCTCAGAGGATAAATACAGCATAAAAAAAGAAAAGTTAAGTAACACAGCTGGTTTTAACTCGACCTCAAAGCAACTATGCATGCTAATACTGTACAGCAGCACCCCAACCACTACATCCTTTTTTTTTTCTTTTTTTTTATGTTCAACGCTATTTGAAGCTTCACTTCTTTAAACTGCCAGTAAACAAGTTGGCTGATGAGAAGGTGTGAAATGACTTACTGTGAGTTGATCTATGACACTGAACAATGAAGGCTTGCAGGATTTAGTCGGTGAATACTTCACTTGAGCAATACAGACAATCACAGGAAGACCGATGCACAACTGGTTCCCCTTTGACAGGAGCTTATTTGTCATTTAATACAGATTCTCTTTTCCACCATAACAAGCAAACGTGCTGCAGGCTATTTTTCCATGATGTACATCTATATATACAACAATTTTACCATAATAGGATGAGTTATAGCTGAGATAATTGTCTCCATAGTGAGTGGTGATCGCCCACATGCACAGCAGATACACAGCAGGTGGGAGGTGAACATACCGTACAAACACTTACACTCTACTCTTTACACGGCATCTCCTCCAGAACTAGAAAATGGTCAGGCAGTAAATCCTATACATGCACACCAAGGTTAACAGTTTTGCAGTTATGCTCTTAAATAAGCTTTTAAAAGCTCCTGCTTCTATTTTGACTTAGATTTTTATATTTT